TTTATTATAAAAGAAGTGTGAATTTATGTATTCTTTATTTTAGGAGGAATTTAAAGAGTGTACATTGAATTATGAGCGAAAGGAAAGAGCAACCTTTTATATATATTCTAATTTACAGAGGGTTTACGTTATAATTAAATCGTCTACGCTATATTTTAGTGTTTACGATGAGTCTTAGTGTTTACGCCGTAGATTTAGCGTATACGTGATATTTTTGACGTATACGCGGTTACGCCACTAAGAATGTGACCAAATTAATTATTCGTTACAATATGATAGGAATTAGTGACTAAACCTGTGAACAATATTAAGAGAATCGTGACGTTAATAATCATTCCGCGCCTCAATCGAAGCATTAGTATTATTAGGGCTTGATTAGAGTAGTTAGTATCAGTGTCGTGCTGGAGTATATATTTGTGATATCTAAATCCCGAGCAGTTCCGCATTTTACAACGGTCTTAAATGTAATTTTGTAACAATTTATAAAATTTAAATGCTATATCAAAACGTCACCGCTTTTCTAATTTACATCAGTCAATTGCACAAATGTCTGACTAGTGCTCCGAAAGGAGCATTAGACCTGGGTAGAATCTGGTTATATTTTGATATCTGAATACTCAAGAGCGAAAAGGTGAAGATAAATATTTGACCCACAAAATATTTTGTGACTTTGACCAATCAAATTTCAAGATCAGACTGATCTTGACATTTGATTGGTCAAAATCGCACAATATTTTGTGGGCCTGCACCTTTTCGTTCTCGAGCACTCATCTATATATTTGCATTTTATTGTTTATTTACTTCATTAACTAAAAGTGTGAGTGCAATGCCGTAATTTGTTGTAATTATAATGCGATACGGCAAAAAAAAAAGCTTTAATTCATTATAATTACAATAAATTACGGCATTGCACACACACCTCTATGCATAATTCGATCATTAAAAACTTATTTTATAAAATTAAGTAGCGTTATAATCATTTTATAATTATCTAATTTGACCGCATTGCTATCGAGGATCTTGGGTTCGGGTTTTTAAGTTGGATTACCCGAAATAATTCAATACTTAGGAGCACTATGTCTGATCATGATATGGCTAGTGACAATTATATTACAAATTAGCTTATCACGTTAAATGTTGTTTTTAAAAAGAAAATTAAGTACGTGAATATTAATGCAAACTCGAATGTTTTTCAAATAATTTATTAAACGAACGATTGATATATTTAGAATAATTACGCAAATGAAGTTTTCTTTTAAAATGTTTACATAAAACTTTTTTAAAAACGTAAATATCAGTCACCTATAAAATAAATTAATAATACGCATTATTTTAAGTGCTGCGCGTTATTTAGGGACGCACATGTGTGATATTTCAACACACTTTTATTCCGAACATAATATATTTAGGTAACAAATATAATTGTCAAAAAATGGAAAATTCAAAATAGCAACCCATCTGTGTTACGTGTCAAAAAATGGCAATTTCAAATAGCGTCCCATCCGTGTTACGTATTATGTGCAAATACGGATAAGGTACGGAGGTTTTTTTAAAAGAAAGTTATCAATTATATCAATTATGTTACTTAATATTTATTGTGTAAACAAATTTTATTAAAAAATTAAAAAATTTCCTGTTGATTAGCACGTGATATTAGTATCAAAAAGGTAAAGAAACTTAAAAAAAGTAGATGCAGGAGTGTCAAAAATGAAAGTTTTGCGGTACTAATACTTTGGGAACATGGGCAAAGTCAAGTGTCACATGACTCTTATAGGTAGTTTTTCAATCCACATGGTTTTGTTAGCTAGCTAAACTAGTAGACTAAAATTCAGTTATGTTGCTGGCTAAATTGCCCATTTTACAGAATCTTTTGGAGCATTACCAAAAATTTAACTCGAACATATTCATTTATCGCTATCGTTTATACTGTTAGTAAATCTTATACTGTGATCTTCGCAAAAATTTAACTCACCATATGTTATTAATAATCTTATACTGTGGTCTTTCACCAAATTATATAACTATATCAGATTGGCTGGCCTTAGCCGGCTACTTTTAGGTCACAGCATTAATATGATTATTGTTATTAAAGTAATAATAATAAGGATTTAAAGTTTCGAATCAGCTTATTCATTTAACTTGTAAAGATAAAAAAAGATTTTTTTTTATAAATTATTATTTAGGTGCGTACGTACTACATACAATATGTGGACTGACATTGGACCAGTTATTTTAGTGGTATGTAGCATATCGATATTTATATGTAAATTTTAATTTGTAAATTCAATTACAATCTATGCACAATCCATGCACAATCCATGCACAATCCATGCACAATCCATGCACAATCCATGCACAATCCATGCACAATCTACTGATCTATTTGCTACAGAAAAAAAAACGAACTTGCTGTTGCACGACAATCAAATTCAGTTTCAATAACAGTAAAGATCGATAAATCTAATGTTACATACCCATGATCTGTGTTCAGGTTCAGGGATTTAATAATTGACAAACACGGCTTTTGTTAATCTCGGATTCGGTCCAATGTTTTTAATTTTTAGGATTCTTTGCTACCTGAAATTGATTAATCGCCAACTATTAGATGAGTCACATGATCATAAATTCCATATGGTTACACTTATATATTTTCGAACCTTTTTGCATTAAGAAAAGAATAATTGTAAAAATTTATTAAATAGGTTTTATAATTTTGGTAATTGGAAGAGGCGTTTTTATGTTTATTATTAAAATTTGCCTGCAAGGCAGAACTAACGTATATATATATTATTTACTTGGCATTGCATCTAACAACAAATACAATTTCCATGAAGGTGTGCAACAAAGCAAAAATACAAATTTTGGAGAGCCCGAAAGTACGAATTATAAAGCAAGTGTTCAAATCGAAATTGTGGCTCTAATGATGATGATAATAATATGCAAATTTAACACATAATAGTCTATACTTCTCTTTATAGCTACTGATTCTACTATGATAACTCAACCTCTAATTTTCACATATTTTGTATTTGGTTCCTTTCAGGTTTATCGTTAGGAAATCGGTTGTTTGGGCATTCTGTGTAGCATTGTGGATCGAATTCAATTAAATGAGTGGAATTAATGCACTGTTTGTACCAAGACACGATATTATATTCTAAACCAATCATAAAATTAATAGAAAAATCTATGCAGAATTACTCAATAGCATGCCATATTGTAATAATGTTTACACTGCATAACGGATTCCAATATGATTGATAGTTCAAAATACGTAACGACAACACAATAAAATTCAAATCCATAGATGTTTAAATCATTGAAAAATGACATATCCTTGAGTGCCTTTTAAGTCAGTAAAGTCTTACATTTCATAATAATAATTAAAATTTTCCAATTGGCTATTACTTCATATGAAAGCTCCAAAGTTGATTAAAAATTATTGATTTATATGATTTGTGATATAACAAAAGATATACGTCACAAAATTTAACGTGATAAACTTTTTCTTTGAGTTTCGTTATATGGTTATATGCGATAACTATGTATAATAGAAGTCAAATATGATAGCATAGCATTCCATTTAAGTGAACATAATCTCCTCTGTAAACTATAGATGCGAACCTTTTTTCACCATATATAACTGTTAAAATATAATTTGAATTTCAATTTATTTAGTTAATTTTAAAATATTTTACTCTTTATGCTAAGTCATGTAAATGATCTAACACGTAGTCATGTAAATGATCTAACGCTAATGAGAATTAATAGCACATTTTGTCAATCAGAATATGAAACATGAAACAAATGCGTAACGGAAAAATAAGGACGTGCTAAAATTTAATTATGAAATTTAATGATTTTCGTTGCAGTTTGCAGACAATTAAAATATCAACTAAACTCTTTAATGACCTTGGCAAATTGCACTGTTTATAAACTTTAAATAATGGTTTTAGCTTTAAAAGACTTAGGAAAGAGTATGCAGGAAATGCAGGAAATACACATAATCTTAGCATTGCTACGGAAAAATAAAGTACAATGTTTACGTATGCGTTAAGATGTCTGTTAACAGAGTTGTATAATATAATAATCTTAACATTACTACAGCAAAAATAAAGTCTAATATTAATAAAGTCTTGTAAATGATTGTTTAAAAAAAAACATCCATCTAGAACAAATTAATTAATTAATTAATTAATTAATTAATTGATTGATTATAACACTCGCTATAATTAAATTTGTCATACAGTAAATATTGTAATTAATAAAAAGTATTCAATCTAAATAATTCATTTCTTACCGTAAAATTAAACATGTTATTGCCACTTTCGATTTATGATTATCTAGGACAAAAAAAATCTTATCCACGTTCTTATGGTATATTTGAAATTATGGATAACAAGTTAATTCTTGTTGATCATTGGTAACACATGTACATGTATGCTAGGTTATATACTTGCATATCCCGGAAAACTTCTCATAAAGCACAATGGTAAACTTCCATTTTTCTAATATTTAAAATATTTAAACGAACTTGTACGTACCGAACCATGTGGAACAATATATATTATTATCAATTTGTCAATGTAGCATTATCTTCTCTTTGTATTTTCAAAGTAATTGAAAACTCGGACCAAATGTTGTCTCTAATTGGTAAGGTTATATTTTGTTTATGTTACATAATTAATTTTGTGCAAAATTATTACTCTAAAATATATGAAAAATATCATTCCTTGTCAAAATATGTGCTTTCACGCGTTCATAATTTTTTGTGTTAAAAACAGTAATTTAAATAGTGTTATCTTAAAAATTACACATTAATCAATTCGTTCATTTATTTATTATTGTATAAATTATATATATTTTATATATTGTTAATATGTTCGAAAATTGTTATAAAACCTTCAAATTTCACTCCTTCTTTCTTCGTTCTGTCCTTAACCCAAGACCTCATAAGAATAATTAACTATCATTAAATCCGATACCATCCCTTCACCTTAATAATGAGGTTACCATCATTAGCGGTGACCGTTTCGCTATTATTAGCGGCAGTCACCTTCACCTCAGCCGACCCTCAACGTCCACCTGGTCCGCCTCAACCCCCACAACAAAATTTACCTAAAACAGGTAAAGGAGGACACCCTACCATTCAACCTAACAATGTAATACGCCCACATACAACTGGCAAGGCCAATATTCCACTCCCACATACAACTGGCAAGGCCAATATTCCACTCCCACATACAACTGGCAAGGGCAGGAGTCTACTGCATACAACTGCCAGGATTCCACCACATTTCACAACCATTTTTCCACCACATATCACAACTGGCAAGGTTCATCCTTTAGCAAAGACAACTGGTAAGCATTCCACAACTGGTAAGCATTCCACAACTGGTAAGCATTCCACAACTGGTAAGCATTCCACGACTGGTAAGCATTCCACGACTGGTAAGCATACCACGACTGGTAAGCATACCACGACTGGTAAGCATACCACGACTGGTAAGCACACCACCACTGGTAAGCACACCACTACTGGTAAGCACACCACCACTGGCAAGCACACCACCACCGGCAAGCACACCACCACCGGCAAGCACACCACCACTGGCAAGCACACCACCACTGGCAAGCACACCACCACTGGTAAGCACACCACCACCGGTAAGCACACCACCACCGGTAAGCACACCACCACCGGTAAGCATACCACCACCGGTAAGCATACCACCACCGGCAAGCATACCACAACTGGCAAGCATACCACAACTGGCAAGCATACCACAACTGGCAAGCATACCACAACTGGCAAGCGTACAACAACTGCTAAGCGTACAACTACTGCCAAGCGTACAACAACTGCCAAGCGTGCAACAACTGGCAAGACAACAGTTAAAGCCACCACTACTGCTAAACAAAATGATCACGACAGATTATGCGACGATTTCTATTATCAACATCATCCTAGATTTACAGTTGTTAATGGTCATACTATTAAAAACGAAGTGTCCCGCAAAGAAAAGGAAGATTACTTCTATAGATATTATAATAAATATTTTGAAGAATCTGAATGTGATGAATTCTATTATAAACATAACTCTAGATATAGAGTTATTAACGGCAAAACTGTTAAAGTCGATGCATCTCAACAAGAAAAAGAAGCTTTCTATAATAAATATTATAAGAAATATACCGAAGAAGAAGAATGTGATGAATTTTACTTTAAACATCATTCTAAATATACAGTTATTCACGGTAAAACTGTTGAAAACAAAGTATCTAAACAAGAAAAAGAAGAATTCTATAAGAAATATTATAAGACATATTCTGAAGAAGAAGAGTGTGATGAGTTCTATTATAAGCATCACTCCAGATATACAGTTGTTAACGGTAAAACTGTTGAACACAAAGTATCTAAACAAGAAAAAACAGATTTCTATCATAAATATTACAAGAAATATACCGAACAAGAATGTGAAGAATTCTATTATAAATATCATCCTAAAACTAAAGTTATTAACGACAAAATTGTTAAAAACGAAGTGTCCCAAAAAGAAAAAGAAGAATTCTATAAGAAATATTATAAGAAATATAGTGAAAAAGAATGTGACGACTTCTATTATAAACATCACCCCAAATATAAGGTAGTCAAGAATCACTCAACAACATACTCTGTTAAAAATGAGGTCTCTAAAAAAGTGAAAAAAGATTACTATAGTAAATATTACACTTGCACTAAAGTCCCTACTGAAGAAGAAGAGACAACTACTACCTGCACTAAAAAGCCCGAAGAGGAAGAAGAAACTAAAGTAAAGAAGCATCATCATCATCATCATAAATATCATAAACTTGTAGAAGTAAAAGACAAGAAAGTTACTACTTGTACTAAAAAGCCCGCTGAAGTACCAGAAAAAGTAGCTACTACTACTT